CTGGGCTGGCTGGCTGGGCTGGGCTGTGGCTGGGCTGGGCTGGGCTGGGCTGCGCTGCGGAAATTGGTTTACTCGAAAATGTGGGCTTGGCTTGAAACGGAAATTGCTTTGTTCGAAAATCGCAATTCCGGATGGCCAACAGCAACAAGCAATTTCTATTTATCACTTTCTTGAGGGTTTAGGGTTTAGGGTTAAGGGACTATTTAAGGGTTTAGGGTTTAGGGTTCAGGGACTATTTAAGGGTTTAGGGTTTAGGGTTTAGGGACTGATTCAGAGTGTGTTAGATCCCGGCTAAGGAGCTTTGCAGTCTATGGATCTGGGTCCGTGTCTCCTGCCATGCCATTCCAGGAAGCCTGAACTTCGAAGTGTGGTGCTCCAAGTCCAAGATTTTTCGCCCCCCACAAACCCCAAAACCCTGTAACACAACTTGCAAGACCACACTCTATGATCTTTTTTGACTTTCAGGCGTAGTCAACTCTATCACCCTTTCAAAGCTATTCTTCAGAACACTGATCAGGCCAGCTGCTTCATGACCGAGGCAGAAAGCTTCGGCTTTCCGTGCAGGCGGGGCTTAGTCTCATAAGGTAATAGGGGTCGTACAAGCCGGTAGTAAGAAGATCCCCTTATAGTTCGGATACCCCCAATACCCTATTTGAGGTGTTAAGGCGCCGAGAGGACGTGACGACATCCCGGGTCGGCGTAGTTTGAACCCCCATACGGTGGGCCCTCCCCCAGCTTGCAAAGCTCCCAAACCACGAAGAGCCAAGCCAAAAGCCGGCAAAGACATCCGAAACTAGCGGATTTCGGTACATGGCACGATCTTTTCTGTGTCCGCAATCCAGTTTGTGCTTGCGGGAAGATGTGCTCTAATGTAGGGGCCTAATGATCGAATTACCTACATTATTTTGGGGGCTCCTTCTTGTAGTTATAGTAATATACCCCCAAACCCCTATTCTAATTATTGAGGCCCCTAGATTAGTGTCAGTCATTCGGTCAAGGACCTCACAGCCCTAAACCCTAAACCCTTAACCCTAAACCCTAAACCGTCGCAACCCTCAGCCAGGCTGCGGAAGGCACCGTGGTGGTGCCCCTTCCCTTCTCCCGCCGCGTCTTCTGGTCTTCCTGGCTGGTGGCCCTCACCACAGGACTGGGGTTCTTGCTCCGGAACTTATTTTTCTTTGTGGCTGAGTAGGTAACCTTTAACCTTTTGGGGTTGATACAATCCTACCATAATTGAAAAGGTTAACCTTTTTTGGGCTAGGGTACTCAGCCCCTAAGTTTTGCTTTGCAGTAATATTTGCCCAAACTAAAGTCCCCCGACGCTTTAATTACTCTGCCACGGGTGGAGGACGAAGCGAAAAAGGACGACCTAATGTCGAGAGGAGAGCGGGGGTTTCCGCCACTACCAGACCTGAACCTCTCACCGAAAACCTGTGCACCTTTACGCCCCAAACATCCCATGCTCTTAACATGAATCCATGAGCCCCTAAACCCCTGAAACATGAACAACTAAGTCCTCTGCCTTCTGTTCCCGCAGGTGTAGCAGCATTGCACCAGTGCTGGATCTGTAGCTGCCTCTGCTTCCTGGCGCCTTGGTCTTCATGGAGGGCTGCCCACTCCCATGATCACAGAATACAACATACACATGGGCGGTCGTCAAAATTATGGTCCCTTTTTGGGTTCCTATTATAATACGGCACCTATTATTTAGGGTACCCTAAAAGGGACCATAATTTTGACAACTACCCACATATCTGTAGAAAAAGTATACATACAATACACACAAAGGATTGTGGTCCCTGTTCCATGCAATGTACACGAACTATGTTCCCGTTCTGTCGGATTCGACATTCCGTTCACACATCACGGTACCCCCAAACAACCCCTACTCCCTAGCCCCTGACCTCCAAACCTCGGAGCCCCATAATTGCAGCTCGCGAGGTGCTGTTTGGCACAGCGCCTTTGCTCGAAGTATGAGAGGCTTTGGGTTTAGGGTTAAGGGTTTACGGTTTAGGTTTTAGGGTTTAGGGCAGGTTTCGTGTTTTGCGTGCCAAGCTGCAGCGCAGGCTTTCGGCGCTTGGATTGCGGGAGTTGGGGTGCTGGACTCGGGCTGCGTTGATGGGCGAAATGTATGGAAATCTGGCTTGGCGAAGCGTGAAGTGGGAATCAGGGCTTGATCAATTCAATGTAGTCTTATTACAAATCTCGCAGAGGGAGCAGCATCTGGCGTCGTCGTGGAGGCAACGGTGGTGTTGTTGTTCGTATGGTCATAGGGATTACTGTTGTCAGTATCAGTAGTGTAGTGGACTCACTCTTCGTACACTGGCCAGTGCCTCGTACTTCGACTGGCAGTATGATGGTCCGCGTACTCCCAGTATTCCTTAAAGGCTTGTCCGGCTCAGCTTTCGCGAGAACACCTCACCTCCCAAGCAGAAGAGCCGGGCAACTTGACCGGCTTCTGAACCTAAACCTCACTTCGACGTTTTGTGCACGGCCTCGTTTTTTATTCTGAGCCTGGCGCTTTCGAGGGAGAAATGCACATCACACTTAAGATACTATAGGGGCCTCAATAATTACCTATACTATTTTGGGGGTTCCTTATTATCATTCTAGTATAACGGACCTCAAAACCCCATTCTATTTGTTAAGGCCGCTACATTACAAGCACATCCTTAAACCCTAAACCCTAAACCCTAAAGCCCTTAAAGCCCTGGTTATCTCCAGGTAAACTACTGGCGTGACCCTCGAAACGGCGCCTGGACCTAGTCCGGAGAGCAGGGGCCATGAGAAACTTTGAGAGCACCCTAGGGCTTGGGGTCTGATAGTAGGGTTTAGGGTTTAGGGTTTAGGGCTTTAAGGTTTAGGGGTTTAGGGGTTTAGGGGTTTAGGGGTTTAGGGTTGAGGGTAATATGGATCCTCACCCACCCAGAGACTCCAATATCCCTTAATTAAGGAATAGACCTTAAATTGTAGTAGGATCCTTAATATGATTTAAGGTATACTCCTTAATTAAGGGGTATTGGAGTCTCTGGGTAATATGGATCCTCACCCAGAGGCTCCATCTATACTACCATTATGGAATTAGGTCCCTGAAGCCATTATAGGCTATGATCTTTTGGGACTTAATTCCATAATGGGATATATATATATATATACATATATATATATATGGAGCCTCTAGGTCATAGACCAATAGAGGCTTGTGCAGTTTCTGTCGGGGCTCCACATCCTGATTCACAACTTCCGGCATTTGACAACACACTCGGGGCCTGGTATGTCGAAAAGCGGCGCCCAGCTGTAGTATAGCTTCAGGTTTCGCGCTTTAGTTCCCTCCTTCCTGCGGCTCTTTCAACTTAAACCCTAAACCCTAAACCCTAAACCCTAAACCCTAAACCCTAAACCCCAAACCCATTCCACGGTTCAGGACTGGGACCTTGTGGAAGCTGTCGTAGGCGTCATGGTATGGAACCTGTGGGTTGAGCCCTTAGGCCTTCAAACACCCTGAACCCAAAGCCCCTAAAGTTATGGGCTTCAGGGCCGTCTTAGGGTTTCGGGTTTAGGTTTTCGGGCGTAGGGTTTAGGAAATCGGTGTTTCGGATTAGAGTTTGAGGGGTTTTGGGGTTTAGGGAGTATTCCCGCGCAGGACCCGAACCTCACCGCAAGCACACGCCGTGCACCCCGAACCCTTACTCCAACACTTTAGTTCCTGAGCCCGAAGGCCGGAATGCTTAACCTTTAAGCCCTAAAGTTCTAGCCTTTTAGTCCTTAATTTAAGGACCTGTAATCCCCGAAACCAAAACCCTAAACCCAAACCCTAAACCCTAAACCCTAAACCCTAAACCGTGGAAGGAGGGCCTCGCTTTTTTTGGGGCTTCGGATACACGGCCAGGTTGGCGGCGAAGATGCGATTTCTTCTTGGCGAACTTCGGGCGCCTTGGAGCTGCGCCAAAAGGGGGTTTGGGGTTTAGGGTTGAGGGTGACTACAAGAGCACCATGCTGTACTAACAAGGGCTACTAGAAGAGTTACTAGCCGAGTTGCTAACGGGGTGATTACAAGGCTTACTATGAGGGTTAATTACAGTACGGGTTTAGGAGTTGGTGGGTTCAGGGTTCAAGGTTCTTTTCGGGTTTACCTATAGTCCCCATTGTAGTTCCTTTTTTTGGTCTAACCAGTTATATATTAAGGAATTTACAAAGCATCCCCAAAAAGGAACTACAATGGAGGCTATAGGTAGGATTGGGTTTTTTGGATTTCCTAAGACTTGGTATGGAAACCTCACCTCTTGCGACTTCCTTAGGGCCTGGCCCCACACCTAATCGTAAACCCTAAACCCTAAACCCTAAACCCTAAACCCTAAACCCAAAGCCCTAAACCCTAAACCCTAAACCCGAACCCTAAAGCCTAAACCATTAAACGCGACCCCAAGCCCCCAATCTCTGAGCCTCGAACCCGAAACGATCTAACCCAAGACCTACACCCCAGACCGAAAACCCTCAACAACACCAAAAAGCCCGAACCACCTCGCTGAAAAATCCCTCTACTCACAAACTTTTAAGCCCCCAACCTCAGCCCCCAAAAGCCCAAAACCCATCTTAGACCCCAAGCCCTGAAACTCGAAACCCGAGCTAAAACCCTCAAACCCCCGACCCGACACCTCGGAGTTCGCACTTCTCAGACTCAACCACCGAAAGGTTGAAGAGTTCAGGATTTCGGTTTTGGCTTTTAGGGTCTAGGGTCTAGGGTTTAGGGTTTAGGGTTTAGGGTTTAGGGTTTAGGGTTTAGGGTTTAGGGTTTAGGGTTCAGGGTTCAGGGTTCAGGGTTTAGGGTCTAGTCTAGGGTTAGAACCACCAGTCGATGGAGATGACTTGGCAAGTCGATGACAAAAGCCAGCAACAGCCTGAATCAAACCTGTTTCCAAAACTGGTCTACTTCTGTTCAGCTTTTTTGTGCTTTACTGTGGCATTTCTGCTTTGTTCTGGCTGCTTAGGCTTTTTTGTTCCTGCTCTTTATGCTTTTTCCGTCGTTGCTTCTGCATGCGACTGAGGGTAGAAGGGTTGCAGGGCTTGGGGTTTAGGGTTTATGGTTACGGGTTTTATGCCATACAGGATGTATCCCGAACCAATCGGATTAGAGTGCACCGCAGGTCGTCGGGTTTAGTCTTGCGGGTAGTTTCGCAGACGCTACAGAGCTAAAGCCTAAGCCCGAAACCATAAACCCCTAAACCACAAACCCTGACACACTAAAGCCCTATAAACCTTAAGCCCGAAGCTCTGAACCTTTACCGACAGGATCGGGTGCCACCTCCTATTGGCAGGGTGGCTGTGGTGCCTGGCGCCACTGGCGCAAAAGGCAGCCAACGGGACAGGGCCCATCCCCCCGAAGCCCCTTTACAAGTGCAGCATAAGATGCCACCGGAATCTTATTCTAAACCCTAAACCCTAAACCCTAAACCCTAAACCCTAAATAATAGCCCTTTAGATGCCACCAAAATCTTCTCCGAAGAATGAGGTGCCCTTAAGTTACTGCCATCCCACTGCTTTTTTCACCTGGCGCTGTTCTGAACCCGAGACTCCAAGACTGCGTTGCTTGAGGCTGAACCCCCTTCATTCGTACGGTTTAGGGTTTAGGGTTTAGGGTTTAGGGTTTAGGGTTTAGGGTTTAGGGTTTAGGTGGTTGTCAAAACTATGGTCCCCTTTTGGGTCCTTATTATAATACGGCACCTAGTATTTAGGGTACCCCCAAAAGGGACCATCATTTTGACAACTACCCATATAGGGGTCCACGACCCGAGCTAAGAGAGTTCAGAGCCTCTGCGAGTTTACAGCAGCCGACAGCGTAGTCTTAGACCCAGAATTCGAGCACACCTTGCTTTCATGGCTTTGGATTTGGGTTCAGGGTGTCTGTTCGTCGCCAGTTCCAGGGTTCGGTTCGGGGGACCCTCGCAAAAGAGGCTTTCACGCATTCAGACCTCCGCTGAGGTTTACGAGGGTGTTTAGAAGGATGGTAACGCGGTCCTCGCCGCTGCTCGCCTGGGGATTTGTTCAGAGTCGAAGCCGCCCAAGCTCCACGCAGGAATGAAGCCCGTTCTAATCCCTCGACCCTAAACCCGAAACCCCAAACCCAAAGGCCTATTTTGATCACTAAGGCCTCTGTATTATTACTTTCGCGACCTGGTCTTGCGAGTGCAGGCTGCGATTTGGGCAGCCCCTGCCCGGCCACTGTTTCCAGGAGGCTGGAATGCAAGGAGGGTGCGGAGTTGAGGATTCAGGTTTTCGGGTGTGGGGTTTAGGTTTGGTTTAGGGTTTGGGGCCATTTTAGAGTGTAGGGCCCGGGGGCTTTACTTGCACTCAAATCAAGCTCCGAGCACTTCGGCTTCGAAGCTTTCTTTTAAAGCTTTCCGACGCCGTCCCTGAATTCGAAACTTTACACTGCGAAGCTTGGTTTAAAGTTATCCGAAGCCGTCCCTGAATTCAAAACCTTGCACCGACCGATCCTAACTCCCCTAAGCCAGCCTATGGAATTTTAAATTCTGCAGCCCATGAGCCTAAACCCTAAACCCTAAACCGCAGCCTGGATCCCAGTCAGCACATGCCACAGGGCCTTCGGTAGCTGTGAGCCCCTTGGGCTTTTGGCTCCTGTGGGGCCTTGCGCTGGTCTTGCAGCCGGGCGATGTGCTGTGTGTGGGGTTCGAGCTTCAATAATTACCTATACTATTTGTGGGTTCGTTATTGTAAATATAATATCAAGGGCCCCCCAAACCCTAATTATTAAGGCCCCTACATTAGGTGTACCTGCGGTTATAACAAGATGACAGAGCATTTGTAACGTTCATGGTGATCCCCCCAGAAGCTACGGAAGCGACACCGTGTAACCCTGAACCCAAAGCCACGGAAGCTTACTGAGCCCCTACATTCCCACATCCTCATCTCCAATGGGTTGAACCTGCACCCTAAACCCTAAACCCTAAACCCTAAACCACTGCGCCTTATAGGGTCTAGGACTTAGGGCTGGACCTCTAGTTACATGTCCAACACGTTCATCCCTAAATGGGAGTTTCCCGAAAGTAAGGGGGTACTCTTGTTTGGGGTCCTTATAATAAGGATCCTACTAACTAGGGTACTATATTAGGGTCCCCTTATTGTCGGAACCCCCCAAATCCTAACATGCACTTCTCAAGCCGTCTTGTTGTGGCTGTCAAGTCGTAGAGGAGTTTTTTAACGCTTTGAGTGATGGGGTTTTCTCAATACTGCGGGTACCCTTGTGGGGCCCTAAGCCCTAAACCCTAAAAAAAAACCCTAAACCCTGGGCCCAGTTTAGGGTTTGGGGTTTGGGGTTTAGGGTTTAGGGTTTAGGGTTTAGGGTTTAGGGGGCCCAGCCATTTTCAACAAGCTGCTCCACCTTCTCAAGGTATCGGCGGGCCAGGGCCTGCGCGAAGCGGGTGCCAGGGCCGAAAGCGGGGATAGTAATATAGGGGCCTTCGTAATTACCTATTTTGGTTTGGGGGTTCCTTATTATAACTCTGTTATAATATACCCCAAAACCCTATCCTAAGTATTCAGGCCCCTACATGAACGGGGCCCAAATGATTTGATTAGGCTTTGGGGGTATACAGTCCTGTCATGTCGCCTACTACGCCGCAGACCAGGGTTCCGGGCTTGCAGGATTCAGGGGTTAGGTCGGGGTTGGTGTTTCGGGGGTGGGGGTAGAGGGCTTCAGAGTATCTACACCGGCTTCCACGAAGGTTGAGAGGGTTTTTTGGCTTTTAGGGTGCCGATTTTCGGGGCCTGGGTCTCCTTCGTGTCTGGGGAGGGTTTAGGGTTTAGGGTTTAGGGTTTAGGGTTTAGGGTCAGAATCTCAGATCAAGGCACCCCCACCATGATGTAACAAGCAGTTTCTTGATCGAGGACTCTTTGGATCGGGGACTATCGGTGTATGTTGTATCAGAATTCCTGCTGAAGGCATGGCGATACCAGGTCTTGCTTCTCCAACTTCCTACCGGGTCGGCCCTACCGTTTGGCGGGGGTACTAGTACTAGTTAGCAGAGGGTTGCCGAGTTTTTGTGCGGTTCGGGATGCCCGAAAGCTCCAGGAGTTTAGGATTAGGGTTTCAGGGTTTCCAGGTGGTTTAGGGTTTAGGGGTTTAGGGTTTAGGTTTCAGGGTTTCCAAGTGGGACGAGAAGATCCCTTACAGCTAGCCCCGTAAACCGTAAGTGTTAATGAAGGCCTCGTCATTCTGATGTAGTTCTGACGTAGAGTCCATTTCCTGATGGGTTGAGGTTGTGTATTTCGATTGGCGCTCCACACGGAACTCAGTTTAAGTTACCATAGTGAGGGATGTATAGATACCAACATAGACCTCCTTAATTAACAAGAGTCCAGGAGATCTACCTCCCCAGAGAACCCAATACCCCTTAATTAAGGAACATACCTGGGGCCTTAATGTTATGATTTAAGGGTATATTCCTCAATTAAACCCTAAACCCTAAACCCTAAACCCCAAACCCTAAACCCTAATCTCAGGCTGCCTACGACCAAGGGACGCGGTGGCACGTCGCCTTCCATGTCGTTGGAAACCTGGCGAACATTCTGTCAGGGTCTCAGGGTCTCAGGGTTTAGGGTTTAGGGTTTAGGGTTTAGGGTTCAGGGCCTGAGGTTTCTTGCTGAGACTAGGGCGTAGGGTTTAGGGGCGTAGGGTGTAATATGGGCTTAGGGTTTAGGGGTGTAGGGTGTAATATGGGCTTAGGGTTTAGGGGTTTAGGGTGTAATTTTGGGGTCGGAAACCTTAACTTAGACGCGTGAGTACAGACAGGAACATCTTGTATAGCGACTTGGGCAGCTAGGCTCGCGAAAGAAGTGCATAACTCATGGTCTGCGAGATGTCTATGGCCTTCCACTTCTGCGCCCTAAACTCTAAACCCTAAACCCTAAACCTGGGTAGCTGCTTCCTGCATCTCAAGGCGTAAGAACTTTTAGTTCAGTTTCATGGGGTGGGAGCCTGGGCCCCACCATACACGGTTTAGGGTTTAGAGTTTAGAGTTTAGGGTTTAGGGCGTCTGCCTGCGTGGCTGGATATCTATGCACCGATGGCGCCACCCCACTTCCAGGGATCTGTGGGT